AAAACAACAAATTTAGTACTAGTACTACTTCCAAAAGTTTATACTTTTAGAAGTTATCTTATTATTTCTTGGGAGTACAATTTCTAGCCTAGAATTAGGAAAGTATAGTTTAAGGTCTGATTAGAGATGCCACCTGCTTCACTCTTCCTGCTAAGGTTTGCTTCAGCTATTCTAGGTCTCTTATTTTTCCAGGTGAATTTCATGACTGCTTTTTTATTTATATGAGGAATGTCATTTAAATTTTGATCAGAATTGCATTAAATCTGTATAGTGCTTTTGGTAGTATGATCATTTTGATAATATTAATTCTGCCTATTCAAGAGCAAGATAGATCTTTCCATCTCCTAAGGTCTTCTTTGACTTCTTTCTTTAAGGTTCTGTAATTTTTATTATTTAGATCTTTCACCTCTTTTATTAAGTTGATTATCAAGTATTTTATTTTTTGAGGATATTGTAAATGGGGTAGTTTTCCTTGTTTCTCTTTTGGAGGATTTGTCACTGATATACAGAAATGCATTTGATTTACGGGTGTTGATTTTATATCTTGCTACATTGCTGAATTCCTTAACTAGTTCTAGAAGTTTTCTGATGGACTCTTTTGGGTCTTCTAGGTGAAGAATCATGTCATCAGCAAATAGTGCCAATTTGAGTTCTTATTTTCCTATGTGTATCCTTTTAATTTCTTTCGTCTAATTGCTCTGGCCAGTGTTTCAAGAACTATGTAAAATAGAAGTGATGAAAGAGGACATCTCTGTCTTGTTCCGGTTTTTAGAGTGGATGCTTTCAATTTTTCTCCTTTTAGAATTATGGGGCTTAACATAGATAGCCTTTATGTTGTTGAGATATGTTCCTGTTATCTCTAATATTTCTTGTATTTTGAACATAAAGTGGTGCTGTATTTTGTCAAATGCTTTTTCTGTGTTTGAAATGATCATAGGATTCTTATCTTTAAGTCTATTGAAGTGATGAATTACATTTATTGATTTCCAAATGTTGAACCAACCTTGCTTCTCTGGGATGAATCCCACTTGATTGTGGTGCATAATCTTTTTGATATGGTTTTGTATTTTATTTTCCAGAATTTCATTGAGAATTTTTACATATATGTTCATTAGAGATATGGTCTAAAGTTTTCTTTCTTTGATGTGTCTTTGCCTCGTTTTGGAATCAGGGTGATACTGGCCTCATAGAATGAGTTTGGAAGTGCTCCCTCTTTTTCTAATTCCTGAAATAAATTGGAAAGTATTGGTATTATTTCTTCCTTACAGGTGTTGTAGAACTTGGCTGTGTATCTAGCCAGTCCTGGGCTTTCCTTGGTTAGTAGATTTTTGATGGTGTCTTCTATTCCATCACTTGAAATTGATCTGTTTCAATTTTGTACATCATCCTGATTCAATCTGGGCAAATTATATGACTCTAGAAATTGGTTGATGCCTTCTATATTTTCTATTTTATTGGAGTACAAGTTTTCTAAATAATTTCTAATTATCTTCTATATTTCTGTAATGTCTGCAATGATATTTCTTTTTTCATCACGTATGTTAGTAATTTGAATTTTTTCTCTCCTCTTCATTAGCAAGGCTAAGGGTCTGTCAATTTTATTTTTTCAAAGAACAAATTTTTTGCTCTGTCAATTTTTTCAATTCTTCCTTTTGTTTCAATTTCACTGATTTCTACTCTGATTTTAATTATTTCCTGTCTTCTACTGCTTTTGGTTTTATTTGTTCTTCTTTTTCTAGGTCTTTGAGATGTAATGTTAAGTCATTTATTTGTTGACTTTTTCTCATTTTAAGAAATGAACTCCATTCGATGAACTTTCCTCTTAGAACTGCTTTCATAGTGTCCCAGAGATTTTGATATGTTGCATCTGTGTTCTCATTCACCTCTAATTTTTTTATTCTCCTCCTTGATGTCTTCTATAACCCATTGTTCATTCAGTAGTATATAATTTGTCTCCAGGTGTTGGAATAGCTTTTATTTATTATTTTATCATTGATTTCTAACTTCATTCCATTATGATCTGATAGAATGCAGGGTAGTCTCTCTACCTTTTTCTATTTGCTAAGAGTTGCTTTGTGGCATGATATATGGTCTATTTTAGAGAAGGATCCATGTGCTGCTGAGAAGAAAATGTATTCACTCATTGAAGGATGAAATATTCTATAAATGTCAGTTAAGTCTAAGTTATTAATTATATTATTGAGTTCTATAGTTTCTTTGTTCAGCTTTTGTTTGGAAGATTGATCTAGTGATAAAAGAGGTATGTTAAAGACACCCAAAATTATTGTGTTATAGTCTATTTGACTCTTGATCTTGAGAAGAGTTATTTGATGAACATAGATGCTCCATTGTTTGAGGCATATATATATATAATTGTTAAGTCTTGTTGGTGTATGGTTCCCTTGAGCAATATGACCTTCTTTATCCTTTTTCTTTGACTTTAGCTTGAAGTCTACTTTATTTAATATGAGGATGGAAACTCTTGCTTGCTTCTGCAGTCCATGTGAGTGGTATGATTTTTCCCAACCCATCACCTTCAGTTTGTGAATGTCTTTTCTTATAAGATGAGTCTCTTGGAGGCAGCATATTTTGGGGTATTTTTTTTATCCAATCTGCTAGCCTATGTCTTTTGATTGGTGAGTTTAGGCCATTAACATTCAGGGTTATTATTGAGACATGATTTGTATTCCCAGCCATTTTTGTTATTTAATGTGACTTGATTTCTCCTCTGAATAGATTTTCCTTTAGTGTAATACCTCCCTCTGCTAATTTTCATCAGTTTTTCATTTCCTCTTCATGGAATATTTTGCAGAGCATATTCTATAATGCAGGCTTTCTAGTTGTAAATTCTTTTAACTTTTGTTTATCATGGGAGGTTTTTATTTCATCATCAAATCTAAAGCCCTCAGTTTTGCTGGATATAAGATTCTTGGTTGGCATCCATTTTCTTTCAGAGTTTGATGTATGTTGTTCCATGATCTCCTAGCTTTCAGGAACTGAGTTGAAAAATCTGCTGAGATACGAGTTGTTTTCCCCCTGTGTATGATCTGATTCCTCTCTCTTGTGGCTTTTAAGATTATCCTTATTCTGTATGCTAGACATTTTCATTATAATGTGCTTTGGTGTAGATCTGTTATAATTTTGTACAGTTGGTGTCCTGTAAGCCTCTGGTATTTCATTTTCCAATTCATTCTTCATGCTTGGGAAATTTTCTGATATTACCTCATTGAAGACATTGTGCATTCCTTTGGTTTGAAATTCTGTGCCTTCTTCTATCCCAATAACTGATCTTAGATTTTGTGTTCTATTCATGGTTTGTTAATACTTCACTGTGTCATCAACTTTATTTTCCAGATTGTATACTTTATCTTCATTATCTGATGATATTTCTTCAAGTGAAATAGTCTGTTGGTTATACTTTCTATAGTTTTTTATCTGTTTATTGTATCCTTCATTTCAAGGATTTCTGTTTTTTTTTTTTTTTTCAAAGTCATCAGAGTCTCTATCTCTTTGTTGGAGTGATCGATTTTTGCCTGTATTTGCTCATTTAGGTCATTCTTTAATTCACAGATCATTTTAATTATGACCTTCTGAACTCCTTCTCTGACATTTCATCAACTTTCTGTCCATGTGTTCTGTTATTATAGTATCCTAGTTTGTTTGAGGCACTTTCCTCCTTGTTTTTTCATGTTGTCTATGTGTCCTCCTTTCCTGCAGCACGGATCTGAGCTATTACAATATCTTTCCTATATTCTTGTACAGATTGTACCTACCTTGTAATGATGTCCCTCAATGTATGCTTCTGCATCTAAAGGTGGTGGTGGAAATAGCTGAGGTAACTTGAGATAATTATTAAGGTGCCCCAACATGGAAGCAATGTCTTACAGAGATGGGGCTGAAAGTGTGGGCCTCACACTTTTTGGAGGATGCCTGCTCTGAGTTGCAGCTGCTTCTAGGCTCTGTCTACTGTCAAAAGGTTAGGGGCTACTGCATGCAGAAGGCTATGGCGATGACTGCAGTGTCCCAAGATGGAAGTGGGTTAGGCTTAAGCTCCCAGGTAGTGAGGGGTGAACTCGGACCTCTCCTGGACCTACGTCCTACCCAAGTTGATGTGGGCTGATCTGGGCTGGGTCTGGGCTCCTTCAGTAGTCTGCTGGCCAGAAGAGGTAGTCCTGTGCTGGAGGCTGGTCTCTGGCAGGTGTCTGCCCCACTGGTAAAGGAGAGCACCCAGGCCTACTGTGAGTCTGAGTCCTGTGCATGCTGGTATGGGTAGATCTCAACAACTTTTTAAAATATCAATTTATCCAGGCACTGCTATACTCTTGCTTTTATTTTTAAATTATATTGAGTTTAAAAATGCATAATTACTATAAAAATTTGAAATTACAAAATAAGTTGTATCCCTCATCCTACCCAGGATTCTACCCCCTGAACATGTTTTATTTAATTCTAAACTTCTGGGACTATTTATATAAAATCCAGGAAGAATGATCAAAATACGGCTTAAAACAAACAAAAATGTGTCTCATTAAAAATAGTTTTAACAGATGGACATCATTACCCTAAATACATATATGAAGATATGAATGGTGTGACTCTACTTTGTGTACAAGCAAGGACATGAAAAATTGTGCTCTATATGTGTAATATGAAATGTAACGCATTCTGCTGTCATATATAACAAATTAAAATAAGAATTAAAAATAGTTTTAATAATCTAACTGCTTTATTTTTAGTTGTGTTCTGATTTTTTAGTTAAATTTATTGAAATCCTTAGTGGTATTACAATTCTAACTGGTCATTGAAAAAAATTCAGAAAAAAATCTGAATCATTGTATGTTTATCTTGCTTTTAGATAAATCAAGTTTACCATATTCTTATTATAGAGACAGAATATTCATTTTATTATGCAGAATACATCTCATAAGACTTTAAAGCAGAAGCTACTATTCAAAACATTGTGACTTGTGAAATGTATAATATCACTATGGAAACAAAGGTTAAACAAATAGTATAAAATATTTTTATTAGTTTGCAGATGACAAAACAACTATGAATTATTTTTCCGAAATATTGAATGTACATTATAAATGTATCTTTAGAAATTCTTCATTAAGTTCCCTTCATTCAAGCTGTTCTTCAAATATCTTATTTGATTTTTTATTTATATTATCAATTTTGAGAAAAGAATCATCTTCTCTGGAAGGCAATGATTGTCGTATTGAATTATCCTTTAAATACTCACATAGAATTAGTATCTAAATAGATAAGATCCAGTAAGTGGCCATTAAAATCTTTCCCTGGATCTTTATTTTCAGCATCCACTGTTTCATTGTTTCATGTGATAGGCAGAGGGAGTCTGCAAATCTTTATCAGAAACAAAGAATCAACAGTCTGAACTTCTTGGCAAGATGAAACAAGAGGGACCAGATTTATTGTTGTTCCTGAAACAAACAAAAATAACATATATTACAGAATAGTCTTCAAGACATTGGAGATCCTGCAATAAAATCTAGGAAAGGTAGCAGAATACAACAGTCACTAATATGGCATTATGTAAAAACGTGGATGTGTAACCGATGTGATTCTGCAATCTATATTTGGGGTAAAAATGGGAGTTCATAACCCACTTGAATCAAATGTTTGAAATATGATATGTCAAGAGCTTTGTATTATTTTGAACAACCAATAAAAAATAAATAAATAAGATCTAATAAATGGAGAGGCAGGGAAAATAGTCCAGCTTTGCAATTGCCTGAGGCTCCTGCTGTGGGGAGGAAGTGGAAACCTGAAGGTGTTGGTCTCCTTGGGTTGAGGATGGAGCTGGTGGTCTCAGACCAAACTAGCCAAAGTAAACAGGGGATACCTGAGATGAGATAGCTGCACAGAAAGAAAGCTATGGAGACATGAAGATGATCTCCTAAATTTCCAGAAGAGTACTGATGCCCACATGTGCAAGTGCTGAAGGAAGGAAACACCTGCAACTTTCAGAACTCACAGAGCCAGCCATAATTATTCCCACCAGCCAACATGAAAGCTTCATAATTCATTGGCACTGAGTAGAGTACTCAGAAACATTTTAATTCTGTAATGGAGCTTTAAATGTAAAACTTTAAAGCAAGACCTGAGTGTTTCAAAACCATTTAACTACATTCTGGGATGAAACTCAATAATATTTATACAGATACAAAAATACCAAGGACACAAAAAGGTGAAATTCATAATGACTGGCATCTCATAAAAATTTACTTGAAATGCAAAGAAACAAGAATAAACAACCCATAAATAGGAAAAAAAGCAATTAATTGAATTTTATCTATAAAACATAAAGATTTAGTAGACAAAGACATTTAGAAAATTCTTATAACTTTATTCCTTGTGTTCAAGAATTAATAAAACACATCAAACAATTGTGAAGCATGTATAAAATATCTGTAAGGAAGCTAAAAAATTGTTTGAGTTGAAAATTCACTGGATTAAAATAATAGTAGATTAGATATTGCAAAAGATTAGTGAAGTTGATGACAACAATATAATATACCCAAAGTGAACACAGAGAAAAGTGTATGAGAATCATTAGCAGATCATCATTGAACAGTAACACAACTTTAAGCAGCCTTTATATGTCCCCAAAATGGGAGGAGCAGAAAAGAAAATTTTTAAAAAATGGTACCTGAGGTTTTCCGAAAATTAAAACTATACAATCATAGTTTCAAGATGTCTATAAAAGTAAAGTGAAGAAATCAATCAAATTACTAAATGACAGTGAAAAGGAGAAAATTAAAAAAAAAAAAGAAACCAAATACCTTATGTGTAGAGGAAGAAAATGACAGATTTTTCATGAGAAATAAGGCAAAAGAGAAGATAATTAAACATTTTAAAAATAATAAGCATGTGTGTACACACACACATGCACACACACACCACTAATAAAAATATAACAAGGAGATATATATTTCAGAAATAAGGTTGAAATTAAAGCACTTTGGGATATAACCTGAAAGAGTTCATCATTAACAAACTTAAACTGTAAGAAACATCATGTAACTCTGTTATGGTTAGAAATGAAGTGTCCCACAAAAGCTCATGTAAAAAAAAGTTTAGAGATAAAATGAATGGGTAATGAGGACCTTAACCTAATCAATGCATTAACCTCTGATAGGAATTAATTGGATAGCAACTGTGGGCAGGTAGGGTGTGACTGGAGGTAGTGGGACCCTGCGGACATACCTTTGGGTGTTTTGTCCTGGTTGAGTGGAGCTCTCTCTCTCTCTGCTTCCTGGTACTGTATCCCCAGGTGCTTTCCACCATGATGTCCATCCCCACCTCAGGCCCTGAGAAATAAAATTGGCCATCTATGAACTAAAATCTCTGAAACTGTGAGCTCCAAAATTAACCTTTCCTTTTTAAAATTGTTCTTGTCAGATCTTTGATTAGAGTAGCGAAAAGTTGACTAAATCAAAGTCCTTCAGAGAGAAGAGAACAATAAAGTTTGTAAATTTGAATCTACATAACAGAAAAAAGAACACCAGAAATGATAACTATGTGGCAAAATATTAAATCTCTATTTTTTATTACCTATCTACATTTCTATGGCTTAGATATGGCTTGAGTGTATTCCTCAATATTCACACCTTGATATTTATTCCTCATTTTGAGATTAAGTGAGTGGAAACTAGAGGTGGGACCTTGAGAAATAATTAAGATTAGATAAGGTCATCCCGGTTGAGCCCCCATTATGGAATTACTGGTGGCTTTATAAGAAAAAGGAGAATTATTGAAAGAGACACATATGTTCCCTGTCTCTTGCCATGTGATGCCCTGTGCATAACAATATATTGTATATTATAGAATATGCTATTTTTAAATAACAAATATATCCAGAACTGAAGTACTGAAATAGTTTGTTGAAAAATTCTCATCTGAATAATCACCTGAAAATTAATGTTTGAAATATTCAATGTAGAACTGATTTTTTAATTTTAATCATCAACTCCTGAATGATATGTGTGGTAGGATGCTGCCTAGAGAATCCAGATTCTTTTCCACACTATGCTCTAAAGATTCCTTCTTCTGAGTATTTTTAGAACCAGAATGGTGGAAGAAGAAAAGTACATTGGTCTCCAAGGACTAGTTGATCTTCCAGAGACTCCAAACCACTCTACCAAGTACTAGCCTTTCTCCACAGGGCAGAGCAGCTCTATGTGAAAAGAGGCTATCACAGCTTTCCTGCTAGAAAAAGCTGTTATGATCATCTCTACATCAACATTTCCATTGTTTGGCACCATACTTTTAAAAATTTTTTATTGGTATATTATGATTATACATAATAGTGGGATATACTGTAATATATATGTATGTATCCTAATTTGGTCAATTTCTTTCCCTAGTACCTTCTTTTTCCCTCCCTCCCTTTCCTCTATGCTACTGGTCTCCCTTCTATTTTATGAGCTCTAATTCCCCTCCCCTTTTTTCTTTCTTGCTTCTTTATTGAAAGAAAACATGATCTGATCCTTGATTTCCCGAGTCTGGCTTATTTTGCTTAACATGATGTTCTCCAGTTCCATTCACTTTCCTGAAAATGACATAATTTCATTCCTCTTTATGGCTGAGTAAAATTCTGTTGTCAGCACCACACTTTTAATTTTTATTCATCTTTCATATAAAGATCTGAATAGAAAAAATACATATGCATTATTTTATTTATTTTTTTATTTATTTTTTAACATGTTTTTATTTTTTTATTTTATTTTTTTTCCTTTAATTTTTATTGTTGGTTGTTCAGAACATTACATAGTTCTTGACATATCATATTTCACACTTTGATTCAAGTGGGTTACAAACTCCCATTTTTACCCCGTATACAGATTGCAGCATCACATCAGTTACACATCCACTGTTTTACATATTGCTATACTAGTGTCTGTTGTATTCTGCTGCCTTTCCTATCCTCTACTATCCCCCATCCCCTCCCCTCCCATCTTCTCTCTCTACCCCATCTACTGTAATTCATTTCTCTCCCTTTTTCCCCCTTTCCCCTCACTTCCTCTTGTATGTAATTTTGTATAACCATGAGGGTCTCCTTCCATTTCCATGCAATTTCCCTTCTCTTTTCTTTTCCCTCCCACCTCTCACCCCTGTTTAATGTTAATCTTCTTCTCATGCTCTTCCTCCCAACTCTGTTCTTAGTTACTCTCCTTATATCAAAGAAAACATTTGGCATTTGTTTTTTAGGGATTGGCTAGCTTCACTTAGCATAATCTGTTCTAATGCCATCCATTTTCCTGCAAATTCTATGATTTTGTCATTTTTTAATGCAGAGTAGTACTCCATTGTGTATAAATGCCACATTTTTTTTATCCATTCGTCTATTGAAGGGCATCTAGGTTGGTTCCACAGTCTTGCTATTGTGAATTGTGCTGCTATGAACATCGATGTAGCAGTGTCCCTGTAGCATGTTCTTTTTAGGTCTTTAGGGAATAGACCAAGAAGGGGAATAGCTGGGTCAAATGGTGGTTCCATTCCCAGCTTTCCAAGAAATCTCCATACTGCTTTCCAAATTGGCTGCACCAATTTGCAGTCCCACCAGCAATGTAGGTCTTTATTGTGGCAAGTATTATAATACTTGCCACAATAAAGACCAATTTTCTCCCAAATTTTAGTCAGTTACATAGCTATTCTTAAACAAAATTTGTGGCACCTTGATTTATTCCATCCAACTTCTATAATATAAAGAGGTTTAAGAAGAAAGGCAGAATAGCTGTCTAGAAATGATAAACAATGTTAATCACCAAAGGGCTGTAAAACCAAAAACAAAAATGTATATCTAAAGTCATGATAAAGGACAATGTTTACATTCAAGTATAAAGAGATGAACAGAGAGTGAAGGATTTGACTAGCTTCTCACAGGTAAGGCATAGAGGGAATAAGAGTAGTCAAAGAATGAAAGAAAGGAACTCATTAGAAAGTAATGAGTCTCAGAAACAGTCAATACAGGAAAATAGCTCAATAAGAAAAAAACAACACAGAAAAACAAAAATGGTTGCATCAAAAAATAAAATAAAATTAGAAATCAGAGGAATTTGAAATTGGATAGTCACTGGAGACCTCAGAGAGAAATATTCTATAATGAAAGCCTAGAATCTCTTGTAGGAGGGACTTCAGAGAGAATGAAGGAATGTGTCCATTGAGTGTCTTTAGGTAAAACTCTCTCAGGTGTTTGAAAAGGAAAAAGGTGGAACAATAATGTGGAGGAGGTAGGTTTTAATTTTGCTGGGCTCATTTTTTTTTTCTACCATGTGTGAGAACCAATGTATGCTTTGCTACACAGTGGAAACTTCATGAAGATAAAAAGACCCAAGGTACAGAAAGAAAAAAATAATAATAAAATGTAATAATCCCTGAGATCTGGAAAAGGAAAGAAATGTCATCTTCAGTATGAATGCAAATCTTCTCCCAAGCCTGATAACACAATCACTGCTACTTCTGGGGATCCTAATGGTTATAAACTCAGTCCCTTTCTGCCTATAATTCTAACAATTTGCGAGGCTAAGGCAGAAGGATTAAAAGTTCGAGGCCAGCCTCAGCAACTTAGGAAGACTCAAAGCAACTTAGCCAGACCCTGTCTCAAAAAAAAAAAAAAAAGTGATGGAGATGTAGTTCAGTGGTTAAGCTTCTCAGTGTTTCAATACCCAACACCAAAAATCAAACAAAACAAAACAAAACTTGGTCCCTATTTTTTTGAGGTAAGAGCACATTATTTGAAAATTAAACATTTATTTGAGGTTTTATAAACAAAATTATGAAATTAATTATGCAATTGAATATTTACTTAGAGCCTGTTAAAGGAATTATAATAAACCAAGAACTTTTTAAAGTTGATACATACCATAAACATAAAAATTCAGAAAATATCTTATTAACATCATGCTACAATTGTTGAACAAGGAAATTTTTAAAACATGATCAAAGAAATTAAAGGCAGGAAAAAAAGAATGAACAAGGAAGTAGTGGAGTAAATACAATATTTCATCAATAAAATCTAATCAAACATAATTTGCTTAGACCTATCATACATAAATCATGTGTATAACCGAGTTCTCAATTACCTTTAATGAGTTTTTTTTTTTTTTCCATAGTTGGGAGAATAAAATTAGGCTTCTCTTTACATTCAAAAGCATCCAGATTTTCATGACCTGATGATAAATTTGCACTGAGTAATGAAGCTTGAGTAAATGCTATACTATTTATTATGTACCAGAGGATTAATTAATTAGCAAAATAAAAGAGGGGGGTATTTAACACTGGTGTTTGAAGGAGTGTAAAATTGAATGTCATATTATGAAATGTTAGGGATCATTTTGGGGACTATAACTTTGTGTTAGAAATAGTATATTTTTCAAGCAGTCTCCCTCCTCTATCTGTTCCATATTTCATGCCCACTTTTGATTTCTCTATAGTTTCCTTTCCCCCTACACCTTGGGGGAAAAAAAAAACACACAAAAAAAAACAGGATGTTTTATCTACTAAAATAATTTTCATGGTACACTATTCTAAAATAGATAAATATATACAAATATACCTATACACCTATATATGTTTACTTTATAAATTTTACTCTAACATTTTATTACATGCCACAGGGTTAACTAAAGAAATAGAAAAGAATAAAAAGATTGTTTTTCCTTTTAAGGAAAATAAACTAAGAACTTGAAGTAACTAAGGGGACTACAAGTTTTTTTTTCCATATAGCATAGTATTCCTTTTGATGATCAGACATCTTATCATTAATATCTTCCAGTGAGATTTCCTGCAACATTAATGATATCATCACAAAGCACAAGTTATTTGAAGTTCTAAGTAAAACAACTTGATTTCTTACTTAAAACAAAAGGAAATTCAAAAATTTTCCTAGGACTTTAATAAATGTTTGTTTCCCTCATGGATAGATAGAATTATAGTGCTAAGAATGTATTGTCATCCAGGGGCTCAGGAGGATAAGGGCAGGAGGATGGCAAGTTCAAAGCCAACCTCAGCAACTCAGCAAGGCCCTAAGCAACTTAGTGAAACTCTGTCTTAAAATGATAAATAAAAAGGCTGGGGATGTGGCTCAGTGGTTAAGCTCTCCTGGGTTCAATCCGTGGTTGGGGGGGGGGACATTGCCTAAAGATCTTCTCATTTAGATGTAGAATAGTGAGCAATTAAACATTTAAAATTTCATTCATAAAGGTATTGTAATTAATGGCAATGATAGTTTACTTTTTAGGGCTTAGTATAAACTCAAAATTCCTTAGCATTTTTTTTCTGTCAGATTCTTAAATTAATATTAAGAATATGAAAGCATTAAATTTCAGATTTGCAACTGTCCCCATATCATATATGTAAACAAATTTTGGAATAATATTCTGTTGCTCAGTGGAAGTCCTGTGTATTCAAGGCTGATATTAAACTTCATGAAAGTAATTTGAAGTTAACTAATTCAATCTAAATGAGAAAAATATTAACACAATATAAAGTCAGATAAACTGATTTATTTTTAAAAGTTTAGCTGAATATTTTATTTTTCTGTTGGGACTAAGTTTTATATACAAATATATTTAGGACAAGACTATCTATAATGAGTCATACTTGTTACCTAATTTATTTCAGCAGATCATATTTCAGCATCAAGCAGTATTAATTTACCTATGTTCTCCCCGCACCTCCTGGAGTACTATTTCACACAGAATTATTGACAGTGTTTCTTTCCCCTTAGACAGCTTTAGAGGACTGCATCAGATGACCTGATGAAAATTTATTTCCTAATATTCCATCCTGCTAACTGGATATCTGAAAGGTTTTCCTTGATCATGGTTCATTATGCAAGGCCTTAGTCTCTCCCGAGCTTTCTTTTCACCTGTACTTTCAACAACGTGCTGATTGGTTTCTCTGCTAGGTAGATGTAGCCTCTATTTCTTGTCACTGTGTGTGTATCTTAACCTTTTAAGATACACTGTGTGTGTATCTTAACCTTTTCTGCACACTCAAACTTTTACATAAATTCCTGACACCCCCTTTGCTTCTCATATTCCTTTCTTAAAAACATGCTTCCTTTGTTTGTCTTTGGTGCATAACAGCTGATAAAAGAGACCCAGACCTTCATGTATACTTCCTTTGTTACTTTTATGCCTTTGCACTCCATTATTATGCACTCCTGTCCTCCTGTTAGGCCCATGCATCTGTCTCAATGATTCCCTATGCCTTCTTGTCAGCATCTAGAGACCCCTTGGATGCATACGCACATTTCACCAGTGGCTCCCCACCAACCAAATGTCATGGTTACCTGAGAATTTCAGCATGACTCATCCTACCCCTGGGGCTGCTTGATCTCACTAACTGTGACCAATTGTCTGTTTTAGGAAAAACAGCCACACCATGACATCTGAGACTGTTTCATACTTAGAATTCCAGGCATGAGTGTTGGGTGTTCTACCACACTCTTCTATCCTTTCATCTCTTTTATTCTCTCATTTCCCCTATATTTACTCTCTTTATTTATTCTTTTGTGTAGTTCAGGATTCTCCCCTTATCTCTAATTCTATTACGCCTCTTCTACTTCTGTATACTCTAGACTTCTGTGATTCCTCTCAGAAGCTATCTCAAATATTGTAAAGCTATATCCAAAAAACTATCCCAACTTTCTACTTCCCTGCTACCTAATTTACACTTAGAAAAATCTTACTTAGCAAGAATACAGAAGCCAAAAGGAAGATTTTTGTCTTTGTTTTTAGTTTTTTGTTTGTTTGAACATTCACTTATAAATCTAATGAGTCTCACTCAACCCCTTACATCATTGCAGAATAATAGGTGCTTTTCTTCTACTCAACTGTCAACACTTCCTATTGTTCTCCTTGTCTTGGCCAATGCCAATATTTTGAATCTAGATTTAGCAATTATCCCTTACTTTTTTTCAGAGTTACATAATATTTCCTTTAGGAGTTTCCTCTCCATCCACAAATAATCATGAAGTAAATGCACAGTTTGTATGGATTAGCTATTACTTTCTTTCTCTATTCACAGGTAAGATTTGAAAATCAGCTAACATGCTCTATATTCATTTCCTTACTTGCATTCATTATTTCAAGTCCAATGCTAATAGCACTTCTCAATTACTTTTGTTGCTTGTCACTCATTCCTAAACTTTGCATAACAAATAATTCCCTAGGTGATCCAGAGAGGTGAAGGATCCAAGGTCACATGCCAGAGTGACAAAATTTAAAACACCAAGTTTGAAGGATCTGATAAAATGATTGTAGTTAAGAACCATTTCAAAATATTTTGTTGAAAGATGGAAAGATATAAAGTTATGGATTCACACAACATGGCATCTTAAGAAGTTGAAAGATTGAAAGTAGTGCATTGTTTCTTTTAAGAATAACAGTTTTGAAGTCAACAATGTAATCTTTTTAAAATTCAGCTCTTCTCAGTAGATATGTTTTAATGTAACATGTAATCAATGTAGCTGTAGATTTTGACTGGTAAACTAAATGCTTATATATTTGAAGTTGTCTTTAAAAAGCCAATGAGCAGTCCTCAAAGGTCCTGGACTCTTAGCAACTAATAGAATAATGTTCGATTTTGGAGTCTGGAGTTAAGGCACCTTGTGTTGTCTGCTTCTAAAGTGTCTCAGAGTTTTACATTTAAAGCATAAAGAGTAACATTTTATATTAAAAAGTTACATTTCCCATTTGTTAGTGTCCCTTGCTACCCCTCTGATGAGGAATGTTCACATTACCTCTTGGTCAGTTCTATGCATAACATTCACCAAATACTGCTGCTGTGGTTTCTTAAAGGAAACCTTGTGTGCTGTGATGCATTGTCATCTTGCTGCTCGACAAATAAGCATATGAGGAATTAGATTGTGTGTGTTAACAATACCTTTGAACAAACAACAAGATGTAACCCTAAAGATGAGGAATGTGCATAAATAATCACTCAGGGATTTTCGTTTAAAAATTGGTCAGTACTATATCTAAAGCTTCTGTGGTTTGTATGATGTTTTAACTTTTATTTTAAACTGCACAGAATAAATTAAAATGAAAACAAAAAAAGTTGAAGAATCTAAGATTAACGTTGTAATAAGACCAACTCAGAAATTATCAAAGGTATTATCTGTCCCCCAAACTGCTGTAGGAGTACTGAGCAGGGAACTTACCAGTAATCTTTTATCCTTCTCTCTGGTGTTTCTCTCTTTCTTGGTTTCTCTTTCTCATGTTTTTCTATGTCTGGCATTCTTCTTCTTTTGATGATAAAGTAAGGATGGACAGATAGATAAATAGATAGATGTCAGGGTTCTTAAGAGATACAGAATCAACAGGTGAGGAGGAGGAATGTGTTTTAAGGAATTGTCTCATGGGATTGTGGTGACTGGCAAATCAAAAATCTGCAGAGTTGATAAGGAGGCTAGAAATTCCAGCAGGAGTGGTTGCAATCCTGAGCCTGAAAAGCTGGCTGGAGACAGAATTGCTTCCTCCCAGATGTCTTTTAATACTTTTGATTGACTGTGTGTGATCCACTCATATTATGGGGTAATCTGCTTTACTAACAGTCTACTGATTAAAACTTCAGGATGACTTATAAGATTATTCACCATCTCCCTCCTGCATAATCATCTTCTATTATTCTCACTATGAATCCTGTACTCAAAGCATAACACAACCAGAATTCATCATGTTCTTTCATACCTCTGTATCCCATGTACATTTTATTTTCTCTGCTAATAACTTTACCTTCCTCACTCAGTTTTTCTAAGTCTGATTGTGAACATGGCTTCCTTCCAAACTCTCTGGGATTTCTGTAAAAATTCAGCTTTACCCTAGTCCTTCCTTACATTTTGCATGTATTTCTAATTATCCTGTGATTTTTTTTTTTTTCTACTGGCCATACAAAACACAGGGTTAACCATAGCCTTTGGATGAGTCTGACACACAGGTTCAGGTCAGGGTTATGATATCCAGCACAGTGACTTGTTGAGAATGGATATTAAATACTTGTTAATTAAAAAACAAATAATGAAAGAAAATGAAGAACTGGTTCTTTTCGTCTAGAACAAACTTGTTTTATAGACAAACTTGTCTTATAGACATGTAATCAAATATTTGCCTATAAAATTACTCAGAACACTGAATTCATGTGTGAAATTAAAATCTCTGTTACCTAATATGAAGATGGTTTTATTAACAACTAACATTCCATAACATTTTACCTTTGACATTTCTAAGCCACAATATGTACTATAATGAATAAGAAGACCTTTAAAATTTGTTTACCATTCTAATGTCGCTGCTTATTATGCATATTAAAAATGAGCTTTGGTCCTTGTGAGCTTAATTACTATAGAAGTAACAGTGACACTTAAGCTGAATGACATTTCATTACTAGCCACTGCTGCAAACTACTACACTAAAATATGAGAATCTATGGTACCTAATTTTCATAGTAGCAATGAAACAAATAATACTATTAAATTTTGTCAATGCTTTAGGTTTCTAATTAAACTAATTATAAAAAAATAACTAAAATAAATTTATTGATTTCTCTGGCCTGAGAAAAGCAATAGTCGTTACTCCATTTTTCCTTGTATATGTTCTAAAAATCCTAGTTTCATTAAGATACTATTACCAAATGTTGAAAATCAGAGTGTTTGTGTATGGGGAAGGCTTAGCTCATGTGAAATAATACCATATAATGACCTGCTGCTTTACCGAATATGTTGTGATACAGGTTTAATTTTTGTAATGCTAAAATTATAAACTATGAAAGTGATACAGAAGTATGTGTGTTAAGGCTATCACTGAATGGTACTTAAATGCAAGCCAGTATTTTTCTAAGTGCTTTAAATTGATTACCTAAAATCCTTGAGAAAACTATTACTTTCTTCTTTCTTTTTTTGGTAGCAGGGATTGAACTCAGGGGCACTTAACCAGTGAGCAACATCCCCAGCCTTTTTTTGTATTTTATTTAGCACTGTGGCTTAGGGCCTTGCTAAAGTGACGATGACCTTAGAAGATAGAAAGACCTCCCATGTTCATGTATAGGCAGAAGTAATATTGTCAAAAACGCCATACTATCAAAAGCAATATACAGATTCAATGCAGCCCCATCAAAATACCAATGTAATTCTTCATAGAACTAGAAAAAACAGTCCTTAAATTATTGGAAGAATAGAGGACCCAGAATAGCCAATGGAATTCTGAATAAGAAAAGTGTCACAGTAGACATCACAATACCCAATCTCAAATTATACTACAGAGCTATAGTAACAAAACCAGGATCAGGATCGTATTGGCATCAAGTAGACATGAAGACTATTGAAATAGAAGACCCATTGACAAAGTCACATACTTAGAGCCATCTGCTACTTGACAAAATTTCCAAAAATATATGGTGGAGAAAAGATAGCTTTTTTTTTTTTTTTTTTTTTTAAACAAACAGTACTGGGAAAACTGAATATCTATATGCTACGGAATGAAATTAGATCTCTTTCTTTCACCCTGCATAAATGCCAAATCAAAATGCATCTAAGTCTTAGGAATTACATCAGAAACTTTGCAACTGCTAGAAGAAAATGTAGGATCAACATTCTGCTATATAGGTGCAGACACCAACTTCCTCAACAAGATCTAAGCATCAATAAGTGGGATGCTATTAAATTAAAATCTTCTGCACAACAAAGGAACAAAGAGAGTGAAGAGAGAGCCTATAGAATGGGAGAAAAATCATTGCTAGATTCTCTTCTGACAGTGGGTTGATATCTAGAATATATAAAGAACAATAATAATAATAAAAGTAAGAAAAAACCTCAATGCCAAAACAAACAAACAAAACCTCCAAATAATCTAACCAATAAATGCACAAAAGAACTAAATAGACGTTTCTTAAAAGAAGAAACACCAATATCAACAAATATTTTAAAAATTCTTGGCACTCTAGCAATCAAAGAAATGCAAATAAAAACTATTATGATTTTATCTCACTCCCGTAAGAATGGCAATTTTCAAGGCTATGGATAATAATAAATTCTGCCAAGGAGGTGGGGGGAAATATACACTCATACGTTGTTATCAGGACTGCAAACTTTGTAAAACCACTTTAAAGAGCAGTGTGGAAATTCCTCAAAAATCTAGGAATGGAAACACCATAAGACCCAGCTATCCCACTCCTCAGTATTTATCCAAATTGGCATAGTATAGTGATATAGCCACTATAAGATTTATATTAGCACAATTCACAATAGTCAAATTATGCAATCAACCAAGATGCATGTCAATAGATGAATGGTTCGAGAGAATGTGGTATGCATACACATGGAGTTTTACTCAGCCAGGAAGAGTGAAATAATGGCATTTGCTAGTAAATAGATGGAAATGGAGAAAATCATGCTAACTGAAATAAGTCAGATTCTGAAAATCAAGTGTTGAATTTTTCTTTCATATACAGACACTAAAGCAAAATAAGGGAAAGAAGATAGTAGGGGAGTGGATTGGATATCATAAGGATATAGGGAAGGAAGATCAGTGGAGTAGAAGTAGTAGGATGAGAGGGAAGAAGAAAGGGAAAAGAAAAAGAAATGAAATATGTAATAAATCTAATGGAATCATGCTATATAAATATATGAATGTAGCAAGTGGAATATCTCCTTTATGTATATGTACAAAGTACCATTCAAAAATAAATAAAGGAATAAAGGGAAAATCAGAGTGGAGGGGAGAGAAAAGGGGGAGGAAGGAGGGGAGAAGTGGAGTCAGAATGTAAGGGGGGTCCGGCGGAACATCGGAGGGAGAGACCACACAAGAGACTTACTCCATGCAATTGGCAAAAGGGGATTTATTGGGGATCCATTCCAGCGCGCTGGGACTCTGTGCCCACTCAAGAAGGGAGAGCAGCCCAGAGCCCAGAGCAAAGGTCAAGCAGAGCTTAAGTACACTTTTTGGAGAGGGTGGTGGGCTTTGCAGAACAAATCATCATGAGGCGTGGGGAAATTGAACAACAACTCTGAGACGTGATTGGCAAATTCATTGGCGGGAACAGCTCGGGCAGGGGTGATTGGTCATTCCTAAGCGGGGTACACATTCAAACTGATTGGTTCGGGCCCTGTGACAAACTGCACAGGGCCCTAGGCTAAATGGCTAGTAGGGTGTTGTCTTAACTATCTCAGGAATCTAAGTGTAACAGAGGAACTCAATAATACCTAATCTTTTACATTTTAATTCAAGCCTTCCAGCTTAGAAACTTTACCCTTTCAAGAATAGGTATTCAAATCAAATTCTTTGTATGTATAATTATGTGAAAAGGAAACTAGATATGATATATAAATATGACATAATAAAAATAAAATACTCTAAAATTTTGTGTTTTTTTCAAATTACTAGAATTAATTTATATTGTAGCTTTGACATATGACTTATTTTATCACAACTTAAACTATTGCTTTTTCATGAATTAAAAAATATTGATTATTATCCACTATCTTTAAATTTTAAATCTTTTTATGTACAGAAAACAGTAATTTTCCATTACAATATTTTATTACTTTCTGTACTATTTTTATATATCGAATTTTATTTAGATTGTTTTCTTATTTTCTTGACTATATTAGCTCTCTATTATCAGCATTTTTATCTTCACAAATTATAGTTAAAACCTATTTGTGCTTGTCTTCTTGTGGAAGTACTTTGGAAATTACTCCCCAGCAGATGATTTCATTAAAGCAATATTGTCCCGTCCGGCAGGACACATCAAGTGAGCAGCGAACCTAGATGGGGAGGAATGAAGGGACAAGAGACACGAAAGGTGACAGCAAGACAAAAGTTCTGATCAAGCTGCAAACTTTTATTGTTCACACAGGGGTATTCATATGCTGGGGATGGGGAAGGTCTCCGCAATTGCTGGATGTGGGTGGTAAAACTGCCAGCTGCAAGATGTCTGATGATCCTCATAACTGCAGGATGTTCCAGGGAGATAGGTAGCTGCAGGATGCCTTCAGGGCAGGATGTCTCCCAGGGGGCTGTCAGGCTAATCTTTGAAGGAGAATTTCCTTCTAGTTCCCGACACAATATAAAAGGGCTGGGGTTGTGGCTGAGTGGTAGAGTGCTCATCTAACACATGTGAGGCACTGAATTCAATTCTCAGTACCATATAAAAAATAAAGAAATAAAATAAAGGTATTGTGTCCATCTACAACTAAAAAAAATTAAAAATATAAAAAAACACTT